GAAATGACAGACTATGGACACCCCCATGGAGGGCCTCACCCTCCCTGGGGGAATGAGGGGATAACGGGGGGGGGGGGTGGGGTTGGGGGGAGGGCACCAGAGTAGGGGAGGGAAAGGGAGAGGGACCTGGAACTGACTTGTGAAGCAACCTTGTTTCTTATCTAAATTTAAACTGAAAAAAAAAAAAAAAAAAGAATGTGTCTAGGTGGCTGGAGAGACGGCTCTGTGGTTAACAGCACTTATTGTGCTCGCAGATGACCTGGGATTCTGTTACCAGCATCTAGATGGTGGTTCACAAACACAGGTAACTCCAGTTCCCTGGAATCTGACATTCTCTCCTGACCTTTGGAGGCCTCAGGCATACATACATATGGGCAAAACACCATACACATAAAAATAAAAGAAATAAACTTTTTCTTTTTTTTCTTAGGAACTGGGTCTAAGTTTCAAAAAAAAAAGTTTTCCTTACTTTTCCAAAAGGGTACGTAGCCATGCCAAATCAACAGGTGAGCAGCAACAGTGGGGTTCTGCTGGGTTTTTATTTATAATACAAGGAGGGTCCTGGGCCTCATGTGGAGAGGTTAGAGCTTGGCAGTGCAAGTTTTCCACCAAAGAAATCTAAACCTAGGCATAGATTGGAAGAAGGATATTTAAAAAAAAGATTTATTTAGTTATTTATTATACAATATACCTGTAGGCCAGAAGAAAGAACCAGGTCTCATTAAAGATGGTTATAAATCACCATGTGGTTGCTGGGAATTGAACTCAGAACTTCTGGAAGAGCAGACAGTGCTCTTAATCTCTGAGCCATCTCTCCAGCCCAGAAGAAGGACTTTTTTTTTTTTTTTAATTTAGGTTAGAAACAAGTTTGTTTCACATGTCAATCCCGGCTCCCTCTCCCTCCCTTCCTCCCCCGCCCTCTCCACCAGGTAACCCAGTCCCCCACCCAATCTCCAATCCAATTCCTAAGGAGGGTGAGGCCCTCCATGGTAGATCTCCAGTAACTGTCATTTCATCCAGGGCAGGGCCTAGTTGCTCCCCCAAGAGTCCCTGCTGAGAGAGCCTCCCATATTGTGGCATGAGCATTCAAAGTCTATTTGTACACCAGGGATAAATACTACCCAAGGCCTCATAGACTACCTAGGCCTCTAACTGACATCCACATTCTAGGGGTCTGGGTCAGGCCCATGCTTTCCACACAGCCATCAGTCTGGAGTCCAAGAGCTCTCCCTTGTTCAGGTCAACTGTTTCTGTGGGTTAAACCAGGTCAGTCTTAACTCCTTTTTCCATCAGTTCTCCCTTTCTGTCACTGGATTCCAGGAGTTCAGTTCAGTGTTTAGCTGTGGGTATCTGTCTCTGCTTCCATCAGTTGCTGGATGAAGGTTCTGTTTCCCAGACTCTCTGGCAGTGTGATTGTATGCTGACATTCCCTTGATTCATGTCTAAAATCCATATATGAGTGAGTATATAGTATGTTTCTCTTTTTGTGACTGGGTTACCTCACTCAGGATGGTTTCTTCTAGTACCATCCATTTGCTGGCAAATTTCAAGATTCCATTGTTTTTTTTTTTCCTGCTGAGTAGTACTCCATTGTGTAAATGTACCACATTTTCTCTATTTATTCTTCAGTTGGGGGGCATCTAGCTTGCTTCCAGGTTCTGTCTAGCCAGCTATTCTTAACTTAAATTATCCTATTTACCTTTTGCATCTAGGCTTTTATTTTTCTCTATTTCTGCATTTCTTTCTTTACTTCTAACTCTGAGACTTGCTGTGTAGCTGGGTGGCTAGCCCTGGAGTTCTCCTCTCCTCCTTTTCTCCCTTCTTGATCTTTCTTGTCCCAAGATTTCTCCTTCTATTTATTCTCTCTGCCTTGCAGCCCCGCTTGTTCCTCTCCTGCCTAACTATTGGCCATTAAGTTCTTTATTAGATCAATCAGATGTTTTAGATAGGCAAAGTAACACAGCTTCACAGAGTTAAACAAATAAAACGTAAAACAATGCAACACACCTTTGCATCATTAAATAAATATTCCATAGCATAAGCAAATGTAACACATCTTAAAATAATATTCCACAACACTTAGTAATTTATTCATCCAGGAAGGAATCCTCAAGGATAGCTGGAATATAAAAACACATTCACAATGACATCTTCCTAAATTCTGCAGCTGATCTTAGGCATTGAGGGTTTTTTATTTTTTGTAGTATTTGGATAGAATCCGGGACGACATGCGTGGTAGGCAAGTGCCCTGCCACTGGGCAACACTTCTAGCCAGGGAGTGATCTTGGGAAAGCAACATAAAGTAATATTCAGAAGAGAACAGTCACTACCATGAGAAACATAGATGTCTGCAACTACGGTAACTATTAACAAGACCAACGACACCCTATTATTAGATAAATGTTACTGAAGGGGTAATTATAGGAACTTCAATTATTTCTGAAATGAGGGACCTGTGCTCCTGCTTTTTGTTTGTTTGTTTTAAATAATCAAAGGTATGACAAAGTTAGCAGAAAGACCACAAACTTACTCCTGTTTGGTCATATTACACAGAATTTAAAGAATAGTTTTTACCATCTCTTGTTAATAACAAAGTGAGTAACAGGACCACTTTCTCTTTATTCCTTCAATTTTTTAGACATGATTTTTTATTTTAAAACAATCTTTCCTATTCCTTTAAATTTTTTTTAAATTTTTGAGGGGGATGAAGTGTCACCTGTAGTTCAGACTGCCTGGAACCCAACAGTAGCCCAGGCTGGCACCCAGCTTAGCACTCCTCCTGAGTGCTAGGATTACAGGGCCTGTATTACCATGCCAAGTTTTGTCATTTTAATACAGAGAAAAAAATCCTACTCTTATATTAATGTAGCAATTAACAGTATAGCAATTGACAATAAAGAATTCACTTCCTTTAAAGATTTTTTTTTTTGAGACAGAGTCTGTGTAGTCAGCCTTGGCATTAAAGGTGTGAACCACTAGGCCCAACTAAAAATCTTACAAAGCTAATTAATAGAAACTCTAACATATTTCATTGTTTCATTGTGGTTTCTGAGTCTGGAGGGACTGTAAACCAACGTGAGCAGAATCTTCTTTTTCTCAAGCTTCTACAACTCGCTCATTCAATTTTTGCCTTATTGATGGTTTCATTGATAAATCAAACCATTCTCATCACATTCACAAATGTAATATTCATATTTCCATTCTTGGTTTGGTTCAATGATCCATATAAAGCACACAATCAGTGTCTCTTGCTCCGGTGCCCTTACAGAGCTAACTCTGGGCAAGCAATGAATATGAAATACAGAAGCATTTAGCTGGCCAGCAAAAGTTAAAAAGCAACTGTAATAAAACTTCCTAGAGTGACATGTTCTTTCTGCATTTTATGAGGTGGTAAGTAGAACAGATACAATGAAAAAACTCAAAGATTTGTCAAGCATACAAAAACAGTATATAAAGGTGTATATGTGTGTGTGAGTTTTGCTTGTTGAACAGTGTTTTTGAATTTTAGTTTCCGAAGAAATAAATGAGAAATAATTATATCAGTTTGTGAAACCACAAAGATCATAAAACACGAAGACAAGACAGAGTTAGGGGCAGTACTCTATTGTGGAGACTGCATTTGATCTATTTCTTAGCAAGATACATGTAAAGAGTTTGTCTTCTTTATGCCTAGAACGTTGAGATAATCAAGTTTTAAGTAAAGAGACACATGAATGGAATCTATATTCATAATTATATTGGACAGGATGGATGGGTGGTTCTCATTTTACTACTTTACAAGTGAAGAAAGCAAGACAGTTATGATCCTTTAACTAATGAGTGACATACTCAGAAATCGAGTTTTCTAATTTCCAACCCAATGTACCTTGTTATCCCCACAATTGAATATTCATGTGTGCCTAAGGGAAAAGACAGAGTGTTTTGCAGCTATGGTTCAAGACCAGTCCAGCTGGGCAACAGACAATGCCATATGCTTCTGGTAGGAAATTCAAGACTTAGTCTCTTTTGACCTCCTGTTTGGGTCTCAGAGCAGACAACCATTAAAGATCCTGATACCCTGCCAAATGGAAGAGACACCACCTGACTGCTGGCTCCAGCCCTGGGTCTCGACTCTCAAGGAGTGAAGCCAACAGTCATGGCAGGACATGTTCAGTTACTAGTTGCCCACCTGAAGTTACTACTAACCCCATCCTGTTGCAGTAACAAGGGACCATTCTGTATTATGATTCCCTTTGACACTTTGAATTGGATTGCACTCTTAGAATTTTCCTCCAGTTACTTTCATGCTAATACCTTTCATCCTCATGGCCCTGGCTCTAAAGTTTCTGGTAATGACTTGCCATTTCTGCTGACCTCCTCTCTGAGTGGGAGGAAACTGTGTATGTGTGTGTGTGTGTGGGAGATAAAAGGCAAGGCTTACACCAGATCAAATGTCAGCCTGGGCAAGTCAGCATGGTTGCTATATGCATTAGAAAAAGGAAGAAACACAACTTTTTCAGGCGCTGGGAGTCTCTGCCTGTGTGCCCCACCCTTCATAAAAGTAAGATGGAAGGCAATACTGTAGAATGAGAAGATGAATGGAAATCTGATGTGCCTTTAATCCCAGGCAGAGGCAGTCAGATCTCTGCTAGTTCGAGGCCAGCTGGTACACATAGTAAGTTCCAGGACCGCCAGTGTAGAGAGACCCTGTCTCAAAAGTAAATAAAAGAAAAGAAAAAGAAAAAAAAAAAGATGAATGGAAGTCCCTTTCATCCCATGGATCACAGGATCACAGAATGGGACAGGAGACTGCGAAGCTGGCTCTGTCCTCTGCAGAAAGTGGGTCACTAGCCAAGAGTGAACGGCAGCCTTTGAGATCTGAATTCTAATGGAGTGTAGATCACCTTGGACTTCCGTGTTATCACAAAATAAACAATACAGGGAGGTGTATTATGGCAGGCCACCAACTAGTTTCGCACTGGTCCTTTTAAGTCTGTTTTCATAAGAGGGCTAGTGCTGCTACCCCAGCTTAACAGAACAGAGAAGAAAGCAAAGGATCTTACTTAAGATCTTACATGCAGGACTTGGCGCAGCCTGAATCCAAACAGACTACTGTTGGAAAGGATCTTGGGGACATGCTGTAGGCTAGCCCCTCTGTTTAGCACACAGAGGGCAGAAGTCCCCCCGAGAAATGAAATGACTTGTTTAAGCCTACAGGCTGAGTGTACTGAGCCGGGGGAGCCGCACAGTTTTGAGCGTCTCCAGGTTCCTTTCTTCATAGCAGTCCTAGGGAGGCTGGGAGGAGCAGAGCACGCTTTGCGCTGAGGCTGGGGGCTCGGTCTTTCCGGGGCGGTCCCTAGCGGTCGTGCATTCCAGAGTCATCCGTGTGAGGCTCTGAGCACGCATCCCAGCCACTCCTGCGCGCTCCCGGACTTGGAGCCCGAGCACGTTCCCGGCGCTAGCGGGGCTGAGGTTCCAGAGCTGGGGTAGCTTGAAGCTGCTGGATCCCCTGCGATCCTGGGGACCCGGAAAAGCACCGGTTGCTGCTTGTAAAGCCTAAGTGGGGATCGGGATCGGATCGAGGGTGAGTGAGACCGAAGGGTGTCTCTTGTGGGATACTGCCCAACGTAGCCCTTACCCCGTGTCGTCTCCTGCCTTGCTACTTCTGAGTTTCTTTTCCCTACTCCTGTCCCTTACCTCCACTGCCCTAGTCTTGGGCCTCTTAGCAGACCGTGGCTTGCGTGGGTGAACCCCGGCTCACTCGCAGATGGGCTTCTCTAGGCTTTCCCTGCTCCTGCCTTTCCGTTCTCCCTCAGACTCTGCGGCTCCTGCCCACCCGGGCTGGGCGTCCCAGCTCAGCTCCTGAGCTCGGGTGCGCCTGAGCACAGCGCAAGGGTTGGGCATCCGCAGAAACAACAGGTCGTCAGAGCTCGGAATATCTGGAACCGGCAGTTTGTCTTCAGGACTGTTGGGTTCTAACCTAGGTACTGCCTCTAGTTACTTCACCATCGTCTCAGTGAACTGTTTAGTCGCAGTGGAGTGTGTGTGTGTGTGTGTGTGTGTGTGTGTGTGTGTAACATCCTTTCAGACTAGAAGCAAATAAAAACACAAGATATCTTGGAGAGGGACCTTTCTTCCAAACTCCCTTCTCCAGGTTATCCGCTCTGTTAGCTAGAACTTAGTTTCTGGTTATTTTGTACCTCTCAGTCACTCTCCAGTTCTTTGAGTGTAAGGACAGCCGTCTGTCCTCGTTTCGGGGGCATGCCCAGGACCTGGCACAGGGCCTGTTAGACAGTCGGTGCTCCGGACCCACTGAGTAAAGGATGGAAGGTGTGAACCGTCAAAATCTGTGCAGGTGTCAGGGAGTTTCTGATGGAGCAGTCTGGGTGGGCTTTCATGCAGCCCTGCTTTTTTTTTTAAATTGTTGTTGTTGTTGTTTTTTGTTTTGTTTTCGTGCCTAGCAGAATCCTGTGGCTGGCAGTTCTTTGGTGTATGGGCAGACAGTGAATACTAAATTACTCAAAGCCCAGGAAGGGCGGCTGCTGTCATTCGCCTATGAAAGCTGGCCAGAGGATCGCTGTGATCTGCTGAACCGCCCGGTGGGTAAATCGTCCGAGGGACCAGAAGGCCTCCCAGCGTGGAATGGGAAGAACAGGAGATGTCAGTGTTGCCATGACTGGGCATTTCCCTTCTCTGTACCCAGTCTTCCTCGTATGTCAAATGAGGAAGTGGAGTGGGACAGATGCCGATTTGTCTGTGGTAACCATAGCATGTTTTCTCTGGGTTGGGTAAGACGCTCACCACTGTCTGAATGCACACAAGAAAGTCCAGCTGAGTTTTAGGCTGTCACAGAGCGCTGTGGTGAGAACTGAAAAAGCCACAAAGTGTTTTCCTGTTCCAGTCATCCTGGGCTTGTGAGTCACACCGCAGGGTGACAAGTCATGCTATACGGACAGAGTTCCTGAAACTGACCCCTCAGAACCTTAGTAATGTGGACTCTGTTGCGCAAAAAGTCTGGGGAGTCCCCCCCTCTGTCCCTTGGCGTAGCTGGAGAACTCAGTAAAAGCTGTGGCAAAGTGTCAGAGACACAAACCAAAGAACAAACTCTGTGGTTGGGTCAGATGCTAGACCCCAGGGGGTGACGTAACGGGGGGGGAAGGGGCCAAGGCAACCTCAGGTGCTTTTCCCAGCTGTATTCTGATCTCATCTTAAAAACATGTCTCTGTTTCTTCTGTCTGGGTTAAAACATACAAGTGAACTGGATGTCTCCAAGGAAACAGGATATTTGCTTTGCTTGGCCTTACCAGTGTTTTACCTCTATTGCGTTATAAAGATAGACACCAGTAAACTCCCCATCCCCATGGTTTACAGGAGTGTGGTGTTTTGAATGGCCCCCACAGGCTCATGTATTTGAAGCTTAGTCACCAGGGAGTGGAACTATTTGTGAAGAATTAGAGGGATTAAGAAGATTGAAGCAGGTGTGGCCTTGCTGGAGTAAGTTTGTCTCTGGGAGTGGGCTTTGATGTTGTAAAAGGACAGGCCCAGTGTGTCTCTTTCTGTCTGCTGCCTGTGGATCAGGATGTAAAGCTCTCAGCATGGCTGCCTGCTTCCCACCATGGTGACTGTGGACCAACTCACTGACACTGCAAGTCAGCCACAGTTAAAGGCTTTCTTTTATAAGAGTTGTCTTGGTCATGGTGTCTCTCCCCAACAATAGAACAGTGACTAAGACAAGGACAGATGCTGGCATCACTGCACCTTGTGACACCCCAGTCCCCTTGCCTGGCCACACATTCGGAATGATGGAATGATAATATCCTACTCGATATCAGTTGGTGCTTACTGTGATATAGGCATATTTCTCTGCTTTTACATATACTCTTTCATTTAGTCTCTACTACAATTCTGCTGTCATTCCTTCCACTTAATAAGTGAGCTCTGGAGAAAGTAACTCATCCATGGTCACACAGGAAGTCAGTGGCAGGGTACAGTGTGATATCGGACAGTCTGGCTTCAGTATCTAGCTTGCAAACTTCTCCAGACCCCAAAGAAACGGGGATCAAATCTTGCATTAGCTGCAGGATGACATAGAAGAAACTGAGAATTAGTCAGCCCGTATACTTGTGGACCACGAGACCCTTAACATTCTTTCTGGTTAAGTGCAGGGCAGCCAGGAGGGGAACGGATCAGAATCAGAACTGCATACACATTAGATAACGGTACCCGATTCAAACTGTGTGCTTACAGTTTTTGTTGTATGTAGATACAGCTTCAGTATCCATTGACTTGGATTCTGATTGCTTGACTGGATATGACTTGCGGGTGACCCCCACACAAAATCAAGGCAAATGGAGTAACAGAGGGAGGAGGAGGAGAAAAGTAAACGATGCTTCCTGAATTAGTTTGAATCAATAAGGACAGCACATGTCTGGCATGTGTTGCTACTCTTTAATTTTTTAAGTTTTTAAAAAAAATTTATTATGTGTACAGTGTTCTGCCTGTTTGTCTGGCAGCAGATCTCATTACGGATGGTTGTGAGCCACCATGTGGTTGCTGGGAATTGAACTCAGGACCTCTGGAAGAGCCGCCAGTGCTCTTAACCTCTGAGCCATCTCCCCGGCCCCTGTTGCTGCTCTTGACTCCTGCCCTAGGCAGACATTGCTGATCAACATGTTGTACTTTGCCTTCTTAGGTCCCCAAAATCCTAACTCAGTGTCGGGGCTTCCTTCTTGTCACCTAGACTTCATTTAATTGCTCTGAGGTATGGTCAAGGATGTTGGATGTGGCAAAACAAGAGACTTGGTCTTTTCGTCACTTTTGGAGATAGCACCGGGCTTTTGGAAAGACTACTCTGTGTTTTCATTTTTAAAATTTAAAATTACCGAAACTTTCATATTGGGTTACATAAGGCTACTTTCATGAAGTGTATATTGTGTTATGAGTGCATTCTCTCCCACACTCACAATCCTTTCCTTACAACCTTTGCTTCTACTTTCATATCAACTGTGTACATATATTGTATAAAGTCCAGTATGCACAAGTTTTGTCTTCGGAATATTTTCTTTTTATTTATTTGTATATGTGTCTGTGCACAGGTGTGTGGGCACCTTGGAGTAGTAGGTGGTTCTGAGCAGCCTGATGTGGGTACTGGGAACTGAACTCAGGTCCTCTGCAGGGACAGCAAGTGCTGTCAGCTTCTGAGCTGTGCCACCAGCCCCTGGAATCCATTAATTAACATGATTATCTCCAGTTGCATCCACCCTTCATTCTTTGTTTCACTCTTTTCTGCATTTTTATTAATGTTCTTCAGCCATAGGCCATCCTGGAACAGGAGTAGAGCAGAGCTGTGTGGTTGGTAGGGTGGCAGCAGCAGGAACAGCCATTTCCCAGAGCAGGCCAGACCCTCAGCAATTTCTGGTTCTTCATTTCTAGTTGTTACTGATACCAAAACTGAGGTAGAGTCAGAAAGCGGAATTTACTTAGGAGCCAGTCGTGCACCATTGGTAACTTGTCATATTTAGGGCTGGGGAGATGGCTCGCAGGTCAAGTGTTTGTCAGGCAAGCATGAGGACTTGAGTTCAAGTCCAAGAGTCCATGTGAAAAAACTCAGGTGTGGTGGTATGTGCTTCTGATTCCAGCACTGGTGTTGGGCATTGGGAAGTGGGGGAGTAGGAGAGTAGGGGGCTAAGAGTGGAGGGTGGATGGAGACAGGCAGATCCCCGGGGCTTGCTGGCATGTGTACACACTTGCAGGCAGTTATAAACCTGTGTACATATACACAAAATTAAAAAACAAATAGAAAAGAGGACTGGCCAGATGGTTCAGCTGGTAAAAACACTTGCCATGTAAGCCTGATGACTTGTGAGTTTGATGCTGGGAATCCACTGTAGGAGAGAACAGACTTCCCAGCGCTTCCTCTGACCTGTAACACAGTACATGCTGTACTGTGGCATGTACATTCCCTCTCTCCCTAACAACAAAGAAAAGTAAAGAATGGGTTAAAAACAGCAACAACAACAACTCCCCAAATCCTCCAGACCCGATTTACCAGAGTTAAATTTGGCAACTTTGAACACTTTTATTCCGGGAGAGCTTTATGGGTCAGCGTCCGCCAGGGTGTCATGGGAGTAAAATCAGACATCGTGGGATTGCCATTCTTGAGGCTGGAGGGTAGAAGTGTTTCCGTTTTTGAGTTGTTGGCAGAAGTCACTCCCACTGTTTGTGGGCCCAAGGTCACCATTTTCTCTTGGGCTGTAAACAGAAGGCCACCCCCTTCTGCTGACAGGGCTGTTGTCTTTGGCTATCAGTTGCCTTCCTCATTCAAACCAGCAATGGATCAATCCTTCCCACAGCCCTTCTAACCCAGTGGTTCTCAACCTATGGGTGACGACCCCAGGATGAGCGACTCTTTCACAGGGGTTATCTGAGGCCATCAGAAACATCATATGTTTACATTGTGGTTCATAACAGCAAAATTACAGTTATGCAGTAGCAATGGAATGATTTTATGGTGGGGGTCACCACATGAGGGACTTATTAAAGGGTTGCATCATTGGGAAGGTTGAGAACCACCCCTTCTCTATCCTCCCACTTGATTTTTAGAGGTTTCTGTGATAGATTGGGTCTAGCTGGGTATACCAGGGTGCTCTCTCTGTAGCAGCACCCTTAATGTGAGCCCTATCCGCAAACTCTTTTACCTGTGTTCTCTTGGCCTCACCCTGTGAGTCACGATTACTAAGGAGACCAAGACATGGATATACTTTGGGTCTATTTTTCTGCATGTCATGCATGTGAAACAATCTTTGGGAGATTGTCTGGTTTAGTATCTCATGGGGAGGCACAGGCTCAGCACCTCTGCTCTGTGCTCTGTGGCTGTCACAGAGTCCCTGCATTCATGGAAAGTCTCCTTTGTCAGCCAGCACACAGCAGTATTCAGGTCACTGGTGTGTAATGATGGATGATGGTACTGCCTTCAACAGGATGCTGTGGATTTGGCCTGTGTTTTCTCTTTTGCTGGCTTGCTGTTGGTTTCTGAAACTCTATGATTGGCTGGTCAAATGCAGTCTACATGCAGTCTCGAAGGGCTCTGGCTGCTTTTCTGATGTCTGAAATAAATAGCCTGTGTTTTTCCATTTTCTAGCCACAGAGGAGCAGAAACTCAAGCAATGAACAAGCCAGCAGTCCTTTAGGAATTCTGGAGAAGTAAGATCAGTTTGGGTGAGATGAGAACAGAGTGCCCCTCATCAGGATCTTGGGAATTAGAGAAAGGTTTATGATTTGATTCAAGTCCCATTTTTGATGTTTTATGTCCCTTGCTCATTTCTCCTTTTGGCCCATTTATTTGGAACAAATTTCCCTGGTGAAATGATTATACCAGGCTTGCAAATATTGGAAGCTAACTGTTATACAATGGGAAGGGAGCTGCTGTTTCTAAGACTTAATGGGTGTCTGGGATGTCCTCATGCTGGACATAGCATTGGAAACTGCTCTTCTTTGCCCAGCCTCCCTATCCTTTTCTGAGAGCAGAGAAAAACTGACACTGTGAGCACCCTTCAGCCATACTTACCTACTGTGGTATATGGCCTTAAACTTGAATTTA